CCCAACCAAAATGTGACTCTTCAGCCAAAAAAGAAACAGGAATGGATGTTTCAAGATGGTCAGTGGACCGCCAAGGTCAAGGCCAGAAGGTTAGATGCAACTTGGAAGGTTAGATGATTCACTTAAAGGACACTGTAGGGGAACTAGGATCACCATGGGGGAAAGTCTGGGGCATGAGATTATAAATTGTGCATCTGGAAGTCAGTAGACAGCAGCAGTTAAGACACGTGAATGATGCCATACGCACAAGAAAGGAACCTGAAAATAAGCTTTTGTTCGGTTAAAATGGAAAGATAATGCCTTGAAGTGGTAACAGGCATGGCAATGTGTGAAGTGCATAAAAAACCTCCTAACCCATCTTTTTCATAAAAGCTAACAACATCCTCAATGGTAGTAAGTAGGAAAAGGAGATGAGAGAATACACGCTTAAATAATGTAGATGAGGGAAAACGAAATTTTTCCGGGAGAAAATGGGTGGAATGTATCTTTTATGTAGTATTACCTTTTTTAAAAAACACTCTCTGGATTCCCAACGTCCCTGTTAGTCTATTACAGTGCTTTGTCACCTTGAGGATCATGAAACTTAATCAATACCATGCTCACCTAATTTAAGGCCAATTATTCTTTTCAGTCCTAAACACACATGAAATACAATTGCTCATCTCCAAACGTTATTCTGCACAGATTTCATAAAATCTATTTAATTGCATCCTGGAACATTTAAAAGACACCTCTTTATAGCATTTCATAATGGCAGCATCAATCAATAGAAGTAAACAATTCTTGGATTCGATTTGCAGAGTGCCCAGTACGATCATTTTTTACAGAGAAAATCTCTTCGTTTTGTCTACATTCCAGGCTCAGCGTGGTCCTGAGCATCAGTTTTTAGGGAAATCAAGTTCTTTTGATTTATCAATACAGAAAAACATCTTAGCACTGATGCTGACTTTTTAGCTGGTAGGACATGTTGCTTGGGATTCAAATACGTTGGTGCATTTTTAAGCACAACCTTCTTGGGCTTCCTAGATGCTGGTGCCCACATTGGACTGTCTGTCCCTCTTCCAGCCAGTGAACAGTCACTTATATAATTTTTGATCTAGTGTGCACCCTCAACCACCTCATCTATTTAGCTCTCACACGCAGGGCCACCATCCACCTGCCTTAATCACCAGACCCGGGTACTAAGCACTATGTATATCCTCTATTCCCCAAAGACCACCACCAGAGCTATTCAAACCTGCTTACCCTGCCTTATCTGTTCCTTCCCAAAGAGACCACAGTAAAAACAAACAAACAAACAAAAAGCTCTTGCCCAAATTTCCTCCCCTCTCCTCCCCCAAACCTTGACTGATCCTGGTGCTTCCCCTGGTAGCCCTGCCTGGTGTGGTGTCCTCTTCCCCTTGAGGTCTGTGAGTTACAACCTATCTTTTCGATGGCAATTGTCTTCTGATCGCTTCTGGTTGGCCTCACCATACCTGAATAATAATAAAACTACAAACTAATAAAAGTTAACCTCATTGACATATATATAACACTTCATTCAAGACTGAGTTAAAATTCTTTACGCATGCTCATGGAATGTTTAGCCAATATTGACCATATTCTGGACCATAAAGCAAATTTCAAATGATTGAAATCATTCAAGTATGTTCACTGACCATGGTGAAAATAAGCTTAGAAATCAACTAAAAAGAACAAAAAATAGAAAATCCTTAAACGTTGGGAAAGTAAACAATATATATTTAAACTACCAAGCAATATACTAAGTCATCCTAGTATCAAAGAAGAAAATTAAAAAAAAATAAAAAAGATAAGAAAGCATATACAATTAAATATATTTTAATAAAAGAATGACATTAAAATATATGAGATGCACTTAGAAAGTAGCACTTAGTAAGACATTTATGACTTTTATTGAGATATAATTGGCAGGTGATATTTTATTAGTTTCAGGTATACAATATAATGATTTGATATTTGTATACAATTCAAAATGATTACCACAAAAAGTCTAGTTACTATTTATCATTATACAAAATCACAAATTTTTTATTGTGATAAGAACTTTTAAGATTTATTCTTAGCAACATTCAAATATAAATGCATAAGGTAGAAAATGAAAAAGGCCAACAAATCAACAATTTAGGTATCCAGTTCAAGAAGTTATAAAAACAATAAGTTAAACCTTAATAAGTAGAAAAAAGGAAATAACATTTGAGCAGAAAATGTTGAAAAAGAAGGTAAACATAAAAGAAGAATATCAACAACAAAAAGAAGCCTGCAGGTATTGGCAAACTACAACTCTCCAGCCCAATCCAGCCAACACCTCTTTTAATGTGGGCCATGAACATAGCAATGCTCATATATTTACATGTTGCTTATGGCTGCTTTCAGAATACAATGGTAGAGTTGAGTAGCAGCAGCAGAGACTACATAGCCTGCAAAGCCTAAAGTATTTTCTTTCTGGCTCTTTACAGAAAAAGTTTTCTGACCCCTGGCATATAACAATGCATGGGCATGTAATAGGTACTTAAAATATACCTGCTGATTAAAAACCTGTCAAGTGAATGAACAAGCAACCAATCAATTTGAAGACTTTGAAACCTCATTGTATCAGTGAAGGCAGTCTGTAGTCTACAACATCAAAATTAGTTATTGTAAAAGAGCCACCTTTACACAAGAATCTTGATAAGCCTGTTCTATAATACCAAGTCAAAAAGAGAGAAACACAAAGATTAGGGAGACAAAGATTTAGAGACACAAAAAGAGAGTAAAAAAGTACAAACTGTCAATAGCAAGTGTGAAAAGGAGGATAATCCTACAAATCTTACAAGATATTATGAACAACTTCATGACAATAATTTGAAATTTTAGAGAAATGGAAAATTTTCTATGAAAACATAACATCAAAATTTACCAAGAAGAAATAGAAAATCTCACCAAGAAGAGAAACCATATCTCTTACAGTAAATAGATTTATAAGTAAAAACCTTTTCACAAAGAAAACTCTAAGACCAGATGGCCTAATTGGTTTTTCCATTTGCTTCAGAAATAACAATAATACAGAAATTCTTGCAGAGTCTAAAAAAGCTCATTTTTATAAGTTTTATGAGTCAGTACTTAATGAGCCCTTGATATGAACATCTGACTAAAACATTACAAGAAAAAAATTACAGAAAAATTTATATATACATTTGTTACTTTTGGATAAATGATATATTTTACAAGTAAAATTTAAAAGACCTGAAGACAAAAACAGAAAAATAATTTCTTTTGTTGTTAATCCTCACCGAGGACACTTTTTCATTGATTTTTAGAGAGAGTGGAAGGAAGGGGACAAAGAAACATCCATGTGAGAGAGACACATTGATTGGTTGTCTCCTGCACGTATCCCAACCAGGGCCAGAAATCAAACCTGCAACCTAGGTACATGCCCTTGACCAGAATGGAACCTGGGACTCCAAGACTGAGCCAAACCGGCTAGGGCAGAAAAGTAATTTCTTAAAAATAAAATATATACATTTTCAAATTAAAATAATACATCAAATACCTAGCTCAAAGAATAAAAAACTAAACAAGTATCAAAAATATTTCAGGAGATGGGTAAAATGACACTACCAACGAGAAAAACAGACGCATGTAAAGCACTCAGAACCAAAATGGCATCAAATATATGAGAAAAAATAAGTACTAGTAACTAGGAGATAATATAATATGATTAAAAAATTCTGAGAATGATCTTCATTATAGAATTCCATGTCCAGGTAATTTACTAAACAAGTATGAAGCTGTTCAAAAGCTTAACCATGTACCTCTCAGGCAACCTTTCTCAGGAAATTACTAGAGGATCTGACTCACTGACTCACCAAAAGTGGGCATAAGCCAAAAAAAAAAAAAAAGGAAGAATGGGATCCAAAGGAGAAAAGTAAAAGGAATTCCTAAGAATTCCTAAGAGACACAGCAGGGTTAGAGAAACTATGCCAGATTGCAACAGATGTACAGAAGGCTCCAGAGAGTTAACACAAGGATAAGAGTGGAGCAAATAAAAACTGGCTGATGTGCTCGACTATAAATGCTGTCCTGGCTGCTTTTACAGCTTTGTAGAAAGTTTTGGTGAAGAATTATTAGGACTCAAATAAAAGTAACCAAATAAAAAATTACCCGGGACAGGGGAATGGAGAAGTCTGTTCAGGAAAGGAAATGTAATCATAGTACACTAAATGGCTCAGCTGCAAGCATATTTGCATAGTTGTAATGACACTGAATACTAATTTAACCCCAAATGGTGATGAATCATTGGGAAGAATAGGGATAGAGAGGTATGGGGAATAGTGGATGTAAATGAACTAAATGGCTAGCTTTCTTAGTAGGAAATCAGTAGCTAAATCTGGAAGTAGTGGTATATAAGCATGTTATTTAGAGGTAAATGCCAGAAGCAGCTAGAATGGAGTTTGTCTGGAGTGGGCGGTATGGCGGGAGGGTTGGGGGGGCGGGGGGAAAGAGGATTGCTACTTTTTATTATAAGCTTTATTCAGCACAGGTTCTACTTTGATTTTTATGAAAATTAGATTTAAAAAAGAATGAGTGTACTTTCACTTCCACAAGTTAATAGATACCCAATTTCAAAGGCAAAGAATTATGGAGTTTATACTAGTATATATACTAGAGGCCTGATGCACGAAATTTATGCAAGAGTAGGCCTTCCTTTCCCTGGCTGCTGGCACCAGCTTCCCTCTGGCACCCGGGACCCAGGCTTCCTTCACAGCCCTGGCTTCGTCCAGAAGGTCGTCCTGTCTAATTAGCATATTAAGCTTTTATTATTATAGATATTGTTGAGAATCCTTTTTCTTCCTTTATTGAACAAGAAGCCAAAGACAGCTTTTTGTTAGAGAACTTTTTTGAGGCGAGACAGAGTAACATGTAGCTTTTTGAAATGGTGAGATTAGGGTAAGTAAATAGCTGCTATCAGGTAAATTAAATGAGATGACCAAACAGAAAAATGTTTTACAAATACTGATTTATTATTTAAAACAGTACCACAAAGCCACCCATAATGCCAAATAACCCTACTACCACAAACCCAGTGTGTAGAAGTCAACATGTGCAACATGCAAGAGATGTGTAAATCACATCTATTCTCTTGGTTACATTCACATAAACAGGCAACATCTCTGAACATGAAAAATAATACAAACAACGGACACCTGCCACGTCCATTTACACAGTGTCAGAAGATCTACCCACGGATCAAGAATAGAAATTGATATACAGGACATTACTGAAACAACTGAAATTTGAATCCAGTCTTTGGATCAGATGATACTATTATATGAAAGATAAATTTCCTGATTTTGGTCATTGTTGTGTGGTGCTATTAATGAATGGCCTATAGTTTAGGAGCACGTTGTCTGCAATTTACTAATAGATGATTCAGAAGAAAAAGATTATAGAAATATATGTGGAGAGAGATAAGATGAGGGAAATGCGAAGAGAATAAAACAAATGTGAGGTAACTGTTGCTGAAACTGGGTGCAGAATATATGGTAGTATGCAACTTTTCTGTAAATCTGAAATTGTTTCAAAATGAAATATTTTTTAAAAGAGTATGAAGGATTTCCCATAAAAGTGTGCCATGTTCATGCTTCTGGAGAGAGTCCTGGGTTTCATCAGATTCTAACTTGTAAACACTCCCTTCAAAAAGGGTCAAGAACACCCCTTTTCCATTATTATTTATATTTTTATATTTAGTCATATCCCCTCATTCTTCTAACTAGGGTATAAATTCAAATAGCCATGAAAAATCTTATATTAGTCTGAGTACCAGAGAACAAAGTGAGGTTTTAAATAAGCAATAAAACCTAACTAATGTAAAAACAAACAAAAAGCATTTGCTGCATTATTCATGAATGTTGTTCATTCTTGTTAAAACCCAATAGTTATCCCAAAACACTATCTCATTCATTTTATGATCATTTATTCTGGAAATGTGTACCAATTTTAAACAAACACTGTTCACTGTTACAAGAAGGAAAAAAAAAACACTTCAAAGAATCATTGATTCTTTTCACTGAAAATGAAATTAAAATATATTTTCACATTAAAAGTAAGGTTTATTCATTCTGGCTGAGATACATCAATTTGACTGTGGGTGAGAAATAAATCAGTTTAAAATAAGAAAATGTCACATATACAATTTCATAAGAAAATGAATTGCAATTCAACTTTATATTTTTATGTTGCTTAATTTTATATATATTACACATATCATACATACATACTTGTTATACAAAAATATACACAAAAATTCAAGTACATAGTTTAATATCTAAAAAAAGGGAAAGGGAGATATTGCATTGGATTTCTGGTACCATTTTGTTTAAATACTTTTATAATTCAGATTTCAAGGGAACAACAAATCAAAAGCCCCTAATTTTTCAGAAAGCTTTGTGTTCACATAAATTCATCATTCAAGTATATTTTTATTGAAACAATAAACTATTTGACTGGTTGCAGAGTCAAATGAATAAGTCACATTAAGCAAAAGCAGAGCTTTCTCTAACTTTGCTTTCATCAGCCTAGCATCCTTCTGACATATAAAATGCAGAGCATCACCGTGACTTTTAACCTGCACTATTTTAAGCTGGGCACTATTAATGCCGTATTATAGGGCTGACAATGTTATAGATTCTTATTAAAAACAATTAGAAATTTTACTTTTACTTTTTTATTCAATTTAAAAAACAGTACATCTTTTTCACTGTGGTTGGCAACTTGACGTTATACCTGAAGGAATAATTTAAACATCCTATAACACAATATATACATAAACTTCTGAAAGATCTTGGTCTTAATTCAATTATAATTTCAATTCTACAGTTATCAAGCAAATAAAAGAATTTTTAAACAAAGAATTATTAACCATAGCATTAACATGTTTTTTAAAAAGTACATTATTTTTTTGTGTTTAATTTTTTTAGTTATACCTGAAGGAATAATTTAAACATCCTATAACACAATATATACATAAACTTCTGAAAGATCTTGGTCTTAATTCAATTATAATTTCAATTCTACAGTTATCAAGCAAATAAAAGAATTTTTAAACAAAGAATTATTAACCATAGCATTAACATGTTTTTTAAAAAGTACATTATTTTTTTGTGTTTAATTTTTTTAAATGTTGACACTATTGCAGATGCCCCATTTTG